ATATTCTTAAACGAAATCAAGTTGCAGTATATATGTTACTGTAAAAGCTCGAACTACGGTTAATCTTAAGATTTAAGTGTAAGTCTTAGGATTTACCGACATGAGTTGGTAAATGTAAGAATTTCTGAAAATACGACGATTTTTTCGAGCTTTTACCATTCGAATTCAGTATATGCTAGGTTTTACCACTGTCAGCTGGTAGATGTTGGTTTTAGGAATAAAACAATGTGTAATTCTTAATTATTTAGTTTAATGAACTATTAGACAAAACAGGTACATAGTATTATAAAGGTATCATATGATAGTAATAAGTACAAACTAATACCAACTTACTTAAATTATTTTGAAAAAAACACAACGTTTATCTCTGAATATCTCACATACATAAGGTACCTAAAAAAAATATTTCACTTGTTACAACACGGATTGCTATAGTGGCACTTAGAATTACAAGGTAATCCTGATGATCTGCAGGTGCATTTTTTTGTTTTTCAACATTTACCGTGCCATTAATGTAAATCCTAAGATTTACCAACGGAATGGTGGTAAGAGTTCGAATCGCAAACTTTTTTGGACATTTACCATTAGGAATTGGTAGATCTTAGGTTTTACTGGAATATCTTCGGTTTTACTGGAATATCTTAGGTTTTACTGGAATATCTTAGGATTTACTGCAGTTCGAGCTTTTACAGTAACATATACAATATACTCGTAGAAAGTGTTTATTTAATATACTTATGTTTAGGGTAAATAATTCTTAGTAGACTATTTCTTGACCACAAAGGATATTTGTATGCTTTAAGAGTTTGTTAAACGAATTTCGGCAAAGCAAATATAAATATGGAGCAAATTGAATCCTTTGTGAAATGTAAGCTTCTACGTGTACAGACTAGTCGTATAAGATCTTTGTAGATATTTCTAATGTGAATCACAACACGATTATTTTCTATGGGTAGGTACCTAGAAATAATGTATTTACTTATTACTTATAACATAATAAATGTTCACGTTTTGTTAAATAATAACTTCGATATTTACAAATCTGATTTAGAGATTTTAAATCAAAACTCGGCATTCGCAATATGTCATATTGTATTCAATACATATTTCATCAACTCAATTGTTTAGTAATGACCATTATGATGAAGCTGTTACATATTCATCAATAAATATTAACACATCGTATCCACATTAAGTAGATTATCGGAACACGTAGCGATATCGTCCGGATCTCAGATATTGAGACTAATAGCTCGGGGCTATAAGTAGTTAATGTTATTACAAGAGTTTTCAGTGAAACATCTCTTATACCATACGACATGTTAACGATCTACGACTTTAACTTACCACATTATTCATAAACGTATTGTAACCACGGCTTTTAAATGTTTTGTCTACACTCTTGTGTCACTTATCTTTTTGAAGTTATACTTCTTTAGGCGCGTTCTGAAAAATTGATGAGAGTGAAATTTTACGATGCGCGCGCACCGTGACACAAAATTAACAGAATGAAGTTAGTGGAGCATGTTGGCACGCACGTCGCCTCTGTTCACTGCGTATTTATATTTATAATATTATTTATCCACATGCTTTGAGTTTCTACATTTAAAACACGTGTTTTCATTATACAAGTACGAATTTTATGTGTGTAATTATAATCAGATGTGATTTAAATTGAATATTTAAATCAATACTAATTAATATTAGAAAATAATAATGAATATAATATTAATAAATATTTATTTATTTAATTTAAAAAAGGAAACTGAACTTTATTGACTATAATGACTCCTTTTCCAGTCTTTAATTATTTGCATGCAATCAAAAACTATTTTTAATAATACCAAAGAAGTATAACTTCTTACGCGCGTACATAAGCACACGCACCCTTTTATTTTTTTAGTCTATAATTATTACCTATACCCGTGGAATAGTTTCCAGGCCTCCGTGCTGTGCCTCACTTTGCAAGTTAGTACGGAGAGAGGTCATATACATATTATACAATAATATGTTCATACAACCGGCTAGGTTAGTAAGATTGCCTAGGTTTTTACTATGTCTATTGTTTTAGTTTTCATATAAAAATGTGTCGAAATATTGTTATGGCTTTCAGTTAGTTTTATACCTGAGGATATAAAATTCATGTTCACTACATAACTACAAGTGACCACCCGTCTTTCTACAGTACTACGTTACCAAAGGATCCCGAGCTTCAAGTATAACGAGCTGAAGTTTTAAAGAGTTTCAATAAATAATTGTATAACTTTGTACAAACTAAATATCTTATTTCGTCACGGACTAGTTCTTTAATATTCTGTAAACACTACTTATTTAGACAATGATTTGTTATTTTTATATAATTCAGTGAATATGCAGCTTATTCTGTGTGAATAAATAATTAATTGTATTAGAATAATTTTTGAAATAGGTCAAATTTCTTAGATATAAGCAGGCTCATAGACTGATCAGTAGAATCTTTAACATCTTTTTTAAATCGTATTTGGTCGTCTAAACGCACTCCACACTTATAACTTAATTATGTGGCATCGCATGTCTATGTATGTATAACTTGTATTAGCCGTTACACGATCCTCAAATACGTACCTACATCTATTGCATGTGAAGTATTTAGGTACATTTAAGTTTTGACCCTATCTTCTCAGTTTCAATAACCATATATTTGTTCTATTCTTGGCAATGTCCTTTGATAATGTTAGTATTTGTTAGGTTTGGATCTTTAAAGTCTTTAATACTATGTTGCTACCAGCGAAAAAAGAAGTCCAAGAATCTCCAAAAATTGCGTGACGTAACGTAATACTTGAACGCTCCCAAAACTGGTTTTGCAATCTAAGAATTACTTTACTAATCGAAAAAGGGTTTGTACTGGTAGCTGTCGCTAAATGTTATAAATGCCAATGATTTAAATAACCTGTGTATTTAAAGTCTTAAACTGTTACGTCTTCGTTAACCCAATGTACTTAAAAGACACTTAGTAAGAGTGTTTTTCTCTCACATGACTCTGCCACCTAAACTGTCTAGGCCCCCAAAACGAGAAAATTACACAGCTCACCTGACCTATGCCACCTCCCGCCAATTTTTAGCACTCAGCTGCTAACCTAACCTAACCTAACCCACCAATAAGCCGGTTCAGGTGAGCTTCCTTCACCGCCCGATCTCAGCCCATGTGCTCCAGCCTCCAGGTGCCCCAGCCAACAAAGTCGATGGGCCTTGTATTTGCTGTAATTTTCGGCTGGGCTACCAGCTCTTCTATTTTAGCATTTTTTCGGACTCTTCATGACCCCTCCTACCTCCTTGTCGGCCCCGGGATGTTACATACTATCTTTCGTTCCAGTAGCTTCTGTTCCTCTTTCGTGGTTAGCATCCAAGCCTCACAGCCGTACAAGACTGATCACATAACAGTATTTACGTTTTTTGCGTTATTGTTGAGCTTGGAAAGCTTGTGTACGGCTGCACAGGGTCTATTTTTTAATAAATTTTAAAAGAAATTATGTAAAGAATTGAATAAAATTAAAGCTCTCAGTTAGCCGCAACGTTATAGTTGCCAAGCACAAACCGGTATATTTATGGTCATATCTATGGTTGCCAGTTAAAAAATAGCGGCAAGAGGTTGCCATGCTTTCAATAAACGAATCCCACTCAAGGTAAGTGAGAGCAATAGAAAAGATTCTCGCGTGCTAAATTCAATTAAAATGAACTTCAAAACAGATAGCTGTAGAAATAAACGGTGGAATATTAGACCTTAGTCCATATATTCTAGTTAAAAGGTATAACCTTTCTTATCAATATTTTCATCGCTACATGCTGAATGTTAAATTGCGAATTTTTAAAGAAAAATCCATTGATACATCCATGAACGAGCGACCCCGATTAAATCGCGGATTTAGACACCAGGTCACACATTACTAGTGCCGGTAATCAAAACCTGTTTAAAATTGGGAATTCGGTGTACATTATAGATAATAGATAATACCCAGTACTCATAAATAATGTAATAAATACCTAAACCAATACTATTCAATGTACTTAATAATATAACAATCATAACTAAAACAGACATTAGACAAAGTTATAGTACAAAAACGACAAATACAATTTAAAGGCTTTGTAGAGCATAAAGATTAAGATTACTGAAAATCTATTTTTATTATAAAAAGGCAAATTATTATCTTTTATATTTTGCCCTGCCCCCCCCCCGTTTCGGGGTTTCTTTCTTCTCCCACTTTTTAAAAAAAAAAAAATTTTTTCCCCTTTTTTTTTTTTTTTTCAATAAACTTATATCATTAGGAAATTGTGGGGGGAAATCATATACATATAAGTTTATTTATGATTCATTTATGATCATCCTTGAGTGATACTTCAAATTTCGAACTTCCCCCCCTCCCCCTTTTTTTCCCCCCCCCCTTTTTTTTTTTCCCCCCCTTTTTTAAAAACCTTTTCCTTTTTTTCTTTTTTCCCCCCCCCCCCCCTTCCCCCCCCCCCCCCCCCCCCCCTCCCACATCTCTCCCCCCCCCCTTTTTTCCTTTCCCCCCCCCCCCCCCCCCCCCCCCCCCCCCTTTTTTTTTTTTTTTTTTTTTTTTTTTAACTCAAGGAATTGTAAAATTTTTCTATAATTATGTCATATAAAATTGCATGCAAAGTTGTAAAAAAATTAATTTTGTCAGAGCATGAATTCATCATTAGATGAAGTTCTCTATTCCGTCTTTTTATATATGTATATTTAAGCTACTTGTAAATGAGCTGTCCATGAGGAATGTGTAAACCATCAACTGTTTTATACCCCTATTTAAATATTGAAGTATAGGAAATACAACAACTTACGGGGGAGTTTAGGTTCTTAAACACCCCAATATTTCATTTTGTAAATTTAACTTTATATGTAAAATAATATGTTCAAATGAACTTTATCACAATATTGGGACAATATATTATATTTACCAACTTTTATTATTCAATTACAGTTATATTTTGACATAATGCTTCTAATAGACATGTACCATTCCATATATAAATGTCCAAAATAAAACATAGGTAAAGAGTCCACCGAAGAATCCATTTGTCAGTATACTTTGTCTTGATACATAGTATTTAGGCCAGTTAGGCCCTGCTTTGATCATAAACATCACCCATAAAATAACCACAGCAAACATGTAGAATGCAAATCCATTTAGACTGGTCAAGCCAAGAACACCTGTAAAATATATGACATGTAAGATCATTATACATATGTAGCTACCTGTTTTTATAATAATAATAGTAACTAACAATATGTATGATTTTTAATTTAATAATCTATTATTAGTTCTAAACAATACAATACTTCTAAAGTATGCCTTTGAGTAAAATCAATCTTTACTCTCTCTACTTTATTCCTAATTTGCTAATTAGCTATTTAAACAGATATAAATGATTTTATATCTATTGAAATCCCTAAACTAAACAAGTATAAAACTCACAGTTCAACAGTGAACACACATTATTTACTACGGAAACATTTTGTATGTAGGAAATTCTGAAGGGTCAACTATGGTATAGAACTATAGATTGTTATAAAAATAGAGAATTCAACTATAGAACCAACCTGCAGTTGAGCCTGATAACGCTGACATTGAAGTACGACAGTATTCCACGACTATCGCATTATTTCTTAAAGCTGCTTCGCTATATGCTATAGGTTCCGGCTTATTATCCTTCGCTTTTAGACTTACAGACATGTTTGCGTCAATTGTTGTGGTTAAAGTTTTACTTAAAGGTTAGGAATGATAAATTACCGAAATTGGGAAAATTGTTTCAATTTTAAATTGTAATAAAAATCGTAAATTTATTTTTTAAAATAACACATTGATTTTTATAAATTCACTTTAATTATACCGTAGTTAACTACCCTTAAATTAGAATTGATAGATTTTTTTTTTTTAGAATTTAGAATCATTGACCACAGACACAGTACTCTGTACAGTATTGTACTCTGTTATAACCATGGTGAAAAAAATCTATGGAACTTTGTTCACCACAATAAGCATATAAATGCTTAAATGCTCTCGTTCTACAATACAATAATTATTACATTTACCGACACGATTAACACGTTTTGGTTGGTGCTACCAAACTTTAAGAACTTTTCAAAAGTTTGAGGCCGTACCAGATTCGCCATTTTATGCAACAAGTTTTTTTTCATTAAAAATTTGATATTTCTTACGAGGAACTCAGATATTTTAGGTCAGGACATTAATACTGCATGAAATGCTGAAAGCAGCTTGTTTAATGCTCCGTTTATTAGTTCAAACTACAAACTCAAACTCAAAATATCTTTATTCAATGTAGCTAACCATAAAAGCTACACCTTTGAATCGTCAAGTTAAATTAACCAGTTAAATTTTATACATTTACTACCAGTTCCGCAAGTCAAGGGCGTAGAGCGGGTAAGAAGAACTGGCAAGAAACTTTCCGCCACTTTTCTTTTAATCGCCTATAATTTGTATTGTCTTATATTGTTATTGTTAAAATTGATTATTGAACTGGAGCAATTCAATCCAAAGGATTAGGATCATTTTCAAAGATAGTCCTCAAATTTAAAAAAAGCTTTGTTGATTAATTTTCGTTTAACGAGGGCTATGAATTTATTTAGTGATAATTCTCTAATTTCGCTTGGGACTTGTTGTAAAAACGAATACAATTTCCATATACAAGGAGTGGTTTATTTTTTGGAGCCTGGTTGGTCGTACACTACCAAATTAGTTCTATTTCACGTATTATACTGGTGAAAGTCATCCATTTGTTTTAAAATCGTTTATATTTTTTTGATACAACAAGTAGATATATTGACCAGATAGTTATAATATTTAATTCCTTAAACTTATTCCGTACCACTCCTCGGAAACCACAAATACCCCGAACAGCCGCTTCTGCAGCACAAATATGGATTGAACCTCTGAGCAGCACCCCACAGTAAAATGCCGTACGACATACACGCTATAAAGTAGCTATGGTACAATATATTACAATTTTAGCACTTTTAATAGTCCTCATCAGTAAACTGTCGGATTTTCTTTACTGCATATGCTGCAGAGCTCAGCCTATTCGAAAGAGTCTCTATGTGTGGGCCCCATTGTTGAGTTTACTATCTATTGTTATGCCTATAAAAAACAGTTTTCGTCAACAAAGTTTAGTTCACTGTCCTTAAAATTTTCAGGTTACCAAATATCTACTGTCATTTACGCTAGTAGTTGAAAATCTAATACATTTTGTTTTATTCTCATTAAGCAATAAGTTATTTACATTAAACCATTAACTATACGAGAGATAGAATTGTTTACATCGTCCAATAATACGTTATTCCTATTCACTTTAAATAGAAGTGAAGTTATCAAACATACCATCTCATGAACTTCGTTGACAAAGAATGGGAGGTCATTTATGTAAATCAGAAATAAGAAAGGCCAGAATCATCCTTGGGGACGCCCATTATACTCAACCCGAGAGGTGACTCATTGAATGAACTCTTTGGATCCTTACCCTTTAAATATGAATTCATCAGGCTGAAGCTTTGCCATTCAACGCCATAGTGTTGAGTTACTTATTTACCTATTTTTTATTCATACTAAAATCATCAATAAACTGACCACAATTAACATCAAGCATAAATAACCTGTAAGGTAACTTTGTACAACAGTTTTGAATAATCAATTAAAAAAATAATTAATTATGATTTATTTAAGTTTTAAATGCACAAACTTACATTATATTTCATTCAAACAATAGCAACATCTGTGAATGATACAATCATCTTATTATCATAATGTCAATAAGATCCGTAACTTAACGGAATGCCTACAGAAACTGACTTTAATAAACTATTACGAACAATACCCTTCATTTGATGGTATCTATAAATCTTAAACAGTCACAGACCTTGACTCGAAACAGGATTGTCGGTCTTAGAAATAATCCAACAATATAAGTTTATAGAATATTACTATACTCTTTCTCGTAGATAATATCTATACATCAACATAAATAAATCACATAAGAATAGCAAAAGCTTAAGCTAGACCAAATTAAGAAAATAGCAGCTGCTAAATACATGCAGAGTGCACTTGCATGAAGAACATCGAAGAGCCTTTGCCCAAAACGGCACACAGATACCATATAAAAGGAGATAGGCGTCAACTTACTTTTTGCTGGACTCTCTATGCACTAATCATTCTAATTCCTTACAAAACAAAAGGCAATAGTGCAGCACTGAGTCAACGAGAGCACTGTAACTGTGAACGCTCAGTAAATTCACTTTAATACAGTTAATGTGGAGGTTTATTGCTTAGTGTATTTCAGCTGTGGTTAGAGGTTAAAGTTCTAATATAACTGTCATTGTCAAAACAGAAAATCGATGTGTGTGTACTGTGTATTTATAATCTGACAGCACACACACTAACGGCGGATTTTCGCGGTACGGGGACGGAAGGCTAAAGCGTCGTGAATTTTTGAAACTATTATAAAAACACTGTCTTTTACAAATTTTATTAGCGCATACATCTTATTGTAATATAAGGTAAATTATAGGTCATAATAAAATTTTCATTGTAATTTTAAACAATATTTATTACTTTTTTGGAGGATATTAAAGTAAGTAATTCACTGATGGCGTGTGTCTGACGGCTCCATAGAGTTCTATCGCCGAACAAAATAAGTCTTTGCTTGGTCATTGTATCGCCGCTGCGATTTTTAGATTTTGTTCTCGAAACAGTGTACCAAATACATTATAAAACACTAAATATTATTATTTAGAGCGGAAACAATGTTGTGTAAAAAAGAATATTAAGTTTTCGATTCTTAGCCAGCCAACAACTATAGCCTATATTTTTTGATCAAGTGATTGAATTAAATGCTTGAATATTGGGAAATTAGAAGTGGCATATCTATTTCTTAACGAATGGTTACATTTGTACAACTGTAAAGCTAACATTTGCCTGAAATAACCAGTATTTTGTGACAATTGTTTGCATATGATATTTTGGCTAGATACATAACTTCATTTCGATTCTTTTGTTTCAGACGATGAATATTGATATTTTTTAACAATCAAAACTTGGTTATTGGACATTGTTAGTACAAATGCCATTTTGTAAACTGTAAAACATGTGTTCATTTTATTTTCGCGAATTTTATTCATATTAATACTGCGGCCGACATAGTGTTACGTCAGGCGCGCCATGACGGGTTAAGCTCTATTTAAAATGGAGGAATGCAATGATAACAGGAGTATGGAGAGTACTGATAGTATTACCACTCCGTCTCCAAAATTAAAACCTAAGAAGAGATCACTTGTTGAAAGAGAACTTGAAACCAGTCTAACTTCTAAAATAACATCTCCAATATTAAACAGCAAAACAATAAATACAAGTCGGTATGGTAGGGCACGCAAATTAAAAAACGACAATGAGAGAAAAATTGAATCACCATTGCCAATTCTTTGTAAACAACAATCACCAACTCGAGGATTATCCGCATACAAAATGTATGCTTCAAACTCACCTACTAATCTTCAATCTATGAAAAATGGCTTTGATAATCAAATTGAAAATATTTACAATCAAAACATAGCACTAAGTCGATTTAGTTCTGATGAAAAGACAGAAAAGATGTCAAAATCTAAAATCTATATGAGGAAAGACCTTTTACAAACAAGAGATAAAGAGGAAACCATAATTTTAATCAAAAATATGTTTTCTCCTAATAAAAATGTATCTAAACCTGAAGTGACTTTATCCTCTGAAAAATCAAGTAAAAATCACAAAAGACACTTATCATCGGTGGTAAAAACATTGGACTTTGATGGCAAGAAGAAAAAGGATGGTCAAGAAAAGAAGATGCCACAAAGTGATTTGTTTGAACTAGAAGCACAATGTGAATATCAAGTTGGGGATTTGGCCTGGGCTCGGATGGGATCTTATCCATTTTGGCCAAGCATAGTGACTAGAGAACCTACTAGTAATTTGTTCATTAAAAAAAAGTGTAAGTATAATATATATATACTTTTAATAATTTTAGATATATAATTTTTGTATCATCTTCAACAAACAACTAATTTAGCCAATATGTTTTGCCAACAATTTCCTGCTGTAAGCTGTTTAATAGTATCATGTTAATAGTTGTTCTTAATGAAATTATTTAGTAAAATTTGATAAAGCTACCTAACATTCTTTGTTTGGTTACTATATGTGATATAACTACTATAAATGACCTATATGTTCATTTAACCTGGCAATTGCATTATATATTTATGTTGCACAGTTTTTTTAGTTTCAACTTATCAGGTAATTTTTATTGAACTTAAATAACAATTTATTTATTTATACAAGTTACTGGTTAGATTAAAAAAATACTTAAAAAATTAGCACAAAGTCATTATTTTATATTATACCCAATAGTAATGAACTTCTTTAATGTTTCAGTATTTGGGAAATTAGAAAAGGACTTAATACATGTAACATTCCTTGGTGACAATGGACGTCGGGGCTGGATCTTAGTCACAATGCTGAGGAAGTACTTGGGACGTCAAGAGTTTGAAACTGCAAGAGAGAGTTTCACATCTGAGGTAGATGTTTCTTAAGGAACAATATAAAATATTGTTTGCATCTATCTATATATCATCATTTTATTTAAAACAGAGATGTTGCTGAGATTCTTGATCAGGAAAAATAATATTTTTTTTTGTTGGTATAATACATTTATTTATTATTGTATTATTTTATTTAAAAGAATATTTTTGTTCAATCTTTCAGGCAAAAAAAAAGGATTACAGACTGTATGCAGCATTTTTTGTGACTGGTAAAAGACTACCTCTTTGGCATTTATCGGTGGAGGAAGCAGATATCCTCTATAAGGAACCAAAAAGGCTTAGAATAGATATTTTAAATTCTATGCTGACTAAAGGCAAAGAACATAAAGCAATACCGGCCAAGAGCAAAAAGGTTTCTAGAACAGATAGCGATATTTCTCTCAGTGAAAGTTTGTATGACAGTCTGTTTTCTGAAGAAGACTATAGAAGCTCTGATACAGAACCTGGTAGGAGTAAAACTAGAAAAAAGTCCTTTGATGTTTCTGAAGTTGTTACTGCTTGTCTTGACAATATGGCTGCAAAAACAGGTATTACAAAAATTCAAAAACAATCACATATGGATATATGGTTACAGAAAGCAAAATCAAAAACGCCAGAAAAATGCCCATTTAAACAATCAAAATCAGAACAAAAAGGAAAAGTTATTTCAAAATCTTGCAATGAATCAAATGCTAGTATGGAATATAAGCAAAACCATGAAAGAGAACATGATTATTTTACAAGAAGTGCAAATATTAATGGATATTTTGATGATGAAATTGTTACTGGAAGTGAATTTAAGGATCCAATAAATATTACAAGTAAACTTTCTCATAATAAAGAATCTGATGGTGCTAATGAATTATGTACAAATATATGTAAAAAAGATGTCTTAGGTATCTTGCCAGATATCATGGATGAAAATTTTACTGAGATTGAAATTATAACTAATGAAGATATGATTGTAGATCAGTGTGATATAAATGAATTGATTTCGAAGGTTGAGCAAAGTAATCATGTAGAAGAACTTCAAAACAGTACAAATCTTGAACATCAACATGGTAATAGTAAACCTAAGTTAGAACAAAGTAATTTTAGTAAAAAAAAGTCATTAATTGATGTTTTAAATGATGAAAAAGATCATATTATGGAAAAATGTCTTAACATAATCAGTATTGATCAACATAAAGTTGAGGATAATACTAACTGTAATCAAAAAACAAATAATATAAAAGTAAATAAAGCTTTGCTTAAACTAATCAATAGTATATCTAGTTCCAAAAATAATGTGTCAAATAACAATATGGCACTTTTTTCCAATAATGTCTCTGGTGACAAATCATTAATTGTAAGTGATAAAAACAAATCAGACACTACTTTATCTGAATTAGACAGTAATGGCACAAACAACATAAAATCAGATTTAACAATTTTAAAAAGTGACAATGTTGTCCAGGATAATGTTTTCTACAAAGATAATAAAACTGAATTGACATTGTTAGTTATTGATAAGGATATAATTACGAATGATAAAAAAAATGAAACCTTAGAAAAGGAAGTAGAATATACAGAAGAGTCTGCAGATTGTATAGCAATTGATGGAAAACAGCATACAACTTCAACTAAAGCAATTAAAAGTTCTACAGAAAAGGCTAGGGATGCTGAAAATTTGTATGAAATTGTTTCTGATCTTCAATGTGGTAGTACTGTGGCCGCTAAATTGAATTCATCCCAATATGATGAAGTAGCCCACGAAAATGTTGAAACTATATATATTGCACCAACCTATATTCCCAAAGAATGTGAAGATGTTACTTTGCGTTTAGAACAAGAAACTGAAACAATAGCAATTCCTATCAGCATAAAAAAAGGAAAGACCATTGAAATCTTAAAAGAAGATAAAACCAAAAGCTTGAGTCTGTATGATGACAATACATTACAAAATGAAAATTCAAGCGATTTTGTATTGACTTATAATCTTGACAATGAGTGTAATTCTGATAGTACAAATGATATGGACTTAATCACCTCGACTACTAGTGAAAAAAATAGCTTAATTTGCGAACATAACAAAAAGATATTGCCTTTTGTAGAACTGGACTGCAATGAACCCCAAAAAAAGGATGGTGGAAATAAATTGGAAAATGATTGCAAAAATATTGTAGACGTCACCAAATCAAAAGGTACGAAAGATACTAAGGATCATTTCTCTAGTCAAGAAAATAGTTTTAAAAATGGAGAATTTTTAAAATATATCGAACAAAAACAGGATATAATTATGGATGAAAATCCAAACCTTACCTATGAAGAAGTAACTGCTTACTTGTTAAAGACTTGGCAATATGAACAAAATTCAAAATCTGATAAAAAGGAGTCAAATATTATTGAATTAGGTACCACAGATAAGAATGACCATGATTCTCTAGAACCTAAAAAGAAAAATAAGACAAGGGGAAGAAGAGATAGGTATTTACAAACTTCAATTGACTTTAAAGAATTACAAAATAATGCAAAAAAGAGTTGTATGCAGAGTAAACCAAAGTCGGATACTGAAAATTCTAATTTTCCTCATGAACAATGTGATAACAGTAATAAGAGAGAAGTAAGTGTTAGTTTAACACCTAATAAAGTTAATATTGGGAATTTATTACCACTTAATAATATTAAAATCCTAGTAAATGAACAATCCTTTAAAGAAGAGAATATTTCAATTTCTAATGCAAATTTTGACCAGCAAATATGTAATACCAAAAAAGATGTAATAATAAATTCAAAAGAAATGGAATCTTTTTCTATCAAAAGTACTGAAATAAACACAGTTGGAAATCAAGATTCAGAAAACCACGACAGCGGGGAATATTTTGTCAATAAAGTCAAGGAAAATAATTCTAAAGAGATACTTTTATTGGAAGATACAAAAGCAACACCTATTTCCAAAGAAATAAAAATAGAAAGTAGCACATCATCTGAATTTAAAAATATGACAGCCGTAAATGATTTATCTCATTCTTCTGGCATTGTAGAAATGAGCAATGATGGAATAAGTTTGATTAAAAGTGAGAATAATGATTTAGCACGCTCTGGACTAAAGGAATCTGAAAAGCGAAATGAAAATAATGTCTCAAAAAATCGTTTGTCACTAAGGCTTAAAAGAAATGTTGAGTTGGTGAGTGACACTGATAGTGATTCTGCAAAAAGTCAAATTGGTAACTTCAATGAAATTGTAATAAGTAAGGAGGATGGTAATATGAAAGAAGGTGAAAAGAGCAGTACGACAATGTCAAACAATGAACCTGAACTAACTTACAGTTGTAAAAGTGAATCCAGTCTAAAATTATCATCATGTAAAGACTATGCGGACGTTAAGTCAGATAATAATACTTTAAGTAAATCGAGAATGTCTAGCTCGCCACCCTCGGAAGGTTTAACGAGAAAAAAACAATCAAAAATTGACGATTTTATAAAAAGAACAAAAGATTTAAATTTATCATTTAATTCTAGTACTGATAAAAATGTTAAAACTGTCTGCAGTAAAATTCCAACAACTTCTCAGGATTCTTGTAACATAAATGATATAAGTCATGTTACCTCAAATTTAGAAGAGAATGAAAACATACTTTCTAAGCGCCAATCGCGTAAAGAAACACAGCCTGTAAAGGGTAAAGATCTCGAAAATCCGGAATTTTTAGAATACTTAGAGTTAAGACAAGATCAGTTAATGGATGAACATCCTGAACTTACACTGGAAGAAATTGCTACTTACCTTTACAACACCTGGTTCTTTGAAGAAAGCATTAAATCTGACAATAAGAAAACTGATGATTTAGAACAAAGATCCTTAGTTAAAGGCCTGAGTCAGGATATTGTAGGTGTAAAAAACGTTCGAAAAAAAGGTGGTGTTGATAAAGAGAAAGATTTTATGTCTAAAATGGAGGTCCCAATTAAAGAAAAATCTAAAAGAAGGGCTGAAAGGCAGTTTTATAGAGAAGACTTTTCTGATCTCGAAGATGAACTGGATGTTTATCAGGTTTTTAATTCTACATCAGAACGTGACACCAAAGATGATGAGCAAGGTACTTCTAAAATTAACATAAATACCAATAAAGAAGTGTTGCCTCGGGATTTCGAAACCGCTTACGGGGTTAACGATTCTACTGTGGGCGAAGAAAATATGGCAGAAAAATTTGATCAAGTGGAAGAATATTTTAGAAAACTGACAGAGCCAAAGCCAAATTTGTTTAAGGGGCTAATCAGGGAAAAACTCTGTCAAGTATGTGAAAGAGCGGGGGATCTTATTAAATGTAAAGGTTGCTACAGCTTCTTTCACGCCAATTGCAGTAGAAAAGGGGTGGAAATAAAAGGATCTCCGAACCCAGTTAGAGGTAGAAAAAAGAAACGTAAGAATAGAGGTCGAAAACCGAGATGTTTAGATGACTCCTTTGAAGATCACAGTGACAAATCACAAGAACACGACATGTCATTCGAACATGAAACGGAGTCACATACAATTGCAAATGCTGACGAATTTGAAGAAAAGGTATCAGAGAAATTGAGAGAAATTATTGAAAATCCTGACTTAAAATACGACACCAACTCCAGTGAAGAAGAGTTAGATTGGAGTGACACGGAGATTGGAGCGTGCAAGATTGTGGAGATAATACCAAAAAAGAAAAAGCAAGAATCAATAGATTTCAAATGTACTGACTGTGAAGAAAATAGCATACCAATATGTTTTGTATGTAAACGTGCGATTTCGGCAAAGAAACAAATCGCTCACAGGCAAAAATGTCAGGTGACGCATTGTAACAAATATTACCATATCGAATGTTTGGAACATTGGCCACAGACCCAGATAACTACTGGAGAGAAAAAAAGTAAAGAATTCGTTGAATCACTGCAGTGTCCGAGGCACGTGTGCCACACGTGTGTTTGTGATGATCCTAGAGGCTGCAAGACGAGGTTTAGTGGAGACAAGCTCGCGAGATGTGTGAGATGTCCAGCTACTTACCATGCATTTACAAAATGTCTACCGGCTGGTACGCAAATTCTTAGTGGTTCACACATCATCTGTCCAAGACATTATGAGCATAGGTATGTATTTTACTACACTGTAATTCGCATGTTATTTATGTTCGAATTAAATCTTTAGCTAATATATATATTTATGGAATTCCATACACTGTTTTAATATCTTTACTTATTAAAGGCTAACATTAAAATTATTTGGTTGGTACACTTTATTTCTAATGTCTTCAGGCCAGGAAAAGTTCCGTGTCACGTTAACACGGGGTGGTGCTTCATCTGTGCGTTGGGGGGTACTTTGATCTGCTGTGAGTACTGTCCCACGTCATTCCACGCCGAGTGCCTGAACATAGAACCCCCGGAAGGTAAATTGCATTAATGAAAGCTTTCTGTATTAAATTTAGTATAGTTGGCATGAAATTAGGGTTCAGTGTAAAATAACTTTAGAAAATTAATTTCGATAATCACTGTATCGATTCGTTTCAGTTTTTATGATTGATGAGAAATCATATTTTATATTTAACTAACATTTTTTAAAAAATTCCAGGTGGTTACATGTGTGAGGACTGTGAGACGGGATGCTTGCCGCTTTACGGGGAAATGGTGTGGGTGAAATTGGGACATTACAGGTATATATTAAATTCTCTTAATGGATAATTTAACTTTGCAGAATTTATAATACATACATTTATATAAACTGCTTGGCATATGTTTGCGTTTAACTACATAATATATATCGGTTGCAGGGTGCGTATGCCAATTATAAAATACGGTATTTACGTAACGTCAATCTTGGCCAGCAAGAGATATCTTACGTAATATGTAGTTCTCGTGTATCGAGTAGTATGGACCTAATAGTATTGTTTAATTAATATTATTTGTATTGGCTTAATAGTGCGACCCTCAATCTTGAGTTTGTGCGTGCGAATCACGTCCAATGCACCAATGGATTTTTTCTTCTACGTGCGCAAATAACACTAACCGTCAGGAAACCGGCGTATCTCAAACCCAAATGATATTTGTCAAACACAGAAAGCTGATCAGCTTCTTGTCTATAAAATAATTATGATCAAAGAACCAGCCACTGGATTGTTATTAAAAATCGTGTAAACCACTGACTTAGTTATTGTTTTGGAATACCTTAACGTACGTTTCAGCGTTACGCGTTACAGACAGATGTAGATACTCTAGACAAATATAATATATTATGAAAAATATATGTTAAGAATATCAATATTTATCAACATTTCAAAACAATTTCTTCATACATTTACAGATGGTGGCCGGGATTAATATTACACCCGAGTGAGATTCCTGAAAACATATTAGCCGTGAAGCACGCACCGGGTGAATTTGTCGTACGATTTTTTGGGCAATACGACCACTACTGGGTGAATAGGGGCAGAGTGTTCCCATTCCAGGAGGGTAATACTTTATAATATATTTCTTGTAATTATAGTAGTAATTGTAATATTAATCTAATATATAAAATTCTCGTGTCACAATGTTCGTTCCCATACTCCTCCGAAACGGCTCGACCGATTCTTATGAAACTTTACATTCAAATTCAGTAAGTCTGAGACACGGCTACTATCTTATCTTTCAAACCCCTCAGTGTTAAGCAGTATCCACCCCAAAAAAAATTATCTTTTTAAACAATTTTTATTTTTTTATGATACAAAAATACATACAACTCTTAGTTTTCACCCCTCTACGATCAACCCCTATTTTACATTATAGCAGATAGTTATTTTTATTGAACTAAAAAAATTTCCGGGAAATAATATATATGGCAACACGACGTTTGCTGGGTCAGCTAGTAATTTATAAAAAAAACTATACCGGTCTTATTGAAATAAGTTCTTATTAGTCTATTTCTGTCAAATTATTTTTCTACTGTATGGAAAAGATTACTAAATCATATAATAATGATTTACATTTAATGAATATGTTTAATTTATGATGTAATATCTGTGTTATTAAAGCAATCCTTCAAAATATATTTTTTTTTAATTAGTTTTTATCATGGCAACGGAATTATTAAACAGATTGTATAGACATAGCTTCAGATATTTTATATTTTTGTTAACCTTATTAATTGTTTTGTTTTTCGTTCTTTCAGGTGATACCGGCAGAGTCTCAAGCAGAAATTCTAAAATAGACGCTGCATTTTCTATGGCAGTCGAACATGCGCACAGAGCTTATAGCATATTGAAAAGTAAGTCATATATTAATGAACCAGCTTTACTATGGAATATTTCATAAAGTATGATGAACCCCTTGAAACAGACGAAATCAATCTCATTGTTTTTTTAACTAAAGTGCTTTATGGTCTCTTTCTGCCAAATTGTATTTACGCTGGGATGAAAAGAGACAGATAAGTACTAAAGAGTTAAAACGGTGCAATTACGTATTAATTAGCCAACGTCTTCTATAAAATATTTTTATTGTAATTTTTACAACTTGGTAGATACTTCTATTAATGTTCATATAATCATCTACATAAAATATAGAAATATAACTTCTATAGTGTTTTAATATGCGTACATGTTTAAAGTAAGACCTATTTATAGGAAATACAAAATTATTAAAGGATTAAATGAATTCCTATTAAAAAAAAATAATAAAAAAAATCATTTAATTCAGACCATTAAAAAATCCATATACTGATAAGTAATTTCTATTCCAGGAATATAAGATACTAATAAAAGGCATATTCTATATTAACATTGCAACCCGAATCATCATCGTTTCCCAGGGAATCGAGCCTAGGACATCCACGTAAAATATTTTATATAAAGTAAGAAAAGTTGCGACTATTTCACATATAAATACCCCTTTACAGATGAATCTCCTAGTAATGAAGGCGATGACGATATAGCATCATCTCTTTTACCCCCACACTTTGTGAAGCTCAAAGTTAATAAGCCATGTGGCTCTCTGATTAATAAGAAGATTGACATAGAAGAGAGTTCCCTTACCCAGTGCGAGTGTGATCCTAACGTCGAAGACCCATGTGGACCATACTCACATTGTCTTAATAGGTAAGATAATAATGTGTTCTTTATGAACAATATATTGTTTTAGATTTTCTATAATAAATTGATAACTGTTCTATTAAGAAATTGACTGATTAAAAGCAATGATTGTTTAAAGAAAAAAAAACACATTTTTGAAGTGAAAACTTCTTTAGCGGCATTGTACATTTTTTTTGGAATGGGTAAAAAATGTTAAACTCGCGTCAGGACACGTGACCTGATCGAAAATTCATAAGACGGATGGTGAGTAGACAGCTGGCGCGGCGTATTTAGTGTAAATAATATAAATTGTCATGTTTGTGTACGATAATTAAAGCAATTCGTGCAAAATTATTCCCTAACCATTCCAAAATATCAAAAATGCACAACGTTAATATTCAAGTTTTCACTTCTGCCGGCACTCCCGGAGTGCAACCCGTCGTTTTTTACTCGAGATTTTACTGAAGTCATTCTTATTTTGATTTCACTTCATTCTATCAAAAGATAATTTATGCCAAATAACCTCAAATACAGTACAAGAAGTACAGTACGTAGAGAATTGAGAAGATGTATTCTCTTCGTAAGTAAATATTAGGTCCTTACATATGAAATTGGCGTATTTCGTACTGGCCACATTAATCACGATGTTCTCCTCTTTGGTGAGGAATTCCAAATTCAAATTTGTACAGCTATTTACTCATGTATTTGTGCTTCGATGACCGTCATTCATTTGTTTTTTCTTCTGTTTTTTTCTGTTTGCGTCACTCATTTACAAATAATACAAAATGGAAAACTTAAAATCCTATTCCTATTCTAGGTTTCAAAACACAGTTTGTTTTTGGTTCCATTTTGTTTGGAAATTTCACTCAAATACTAAATTTTTAATTATGGTGATCCTCACAATCCTGCCCAAATTCCCCAAAAATTACTTGTAAGCGTTTGGTGGATAGTGCCGGTATTTTATTGCAGTTTTTCAATCTGCAGATTTCGCTATGTCTTTGTACATTCAACCATATGAAAACTAGCGGCTAAACAACCTAGCTGTAATCCTCCACCCTTCTACTTCCACCCTACCACACACTGCACAACAGACGGCGGCTACCAAATTAGAAGAGCTTCAATTGGAATATCTAAGACATCCTCCGTACTCCCGGACTTTGTCCAACAGATTACCATTTTTTCGAAATTTGGACAACTTGAGGGAAAAAATTTAACCCCGGATGGGGCGTCCAAATCGCTTCACAGATTTTATTGATTCCCGTCCGACTTTTTTTTTATAAAGGGACAATGAACTACCTATGAGATGGAAAGGTGCATAGAAAACAATGGTTCATACTTTGATTAATTAAATATACTTATATTTAAAAATATTCGACTTTTTGTTCCTCTCATACAAAACGCCAATTTCATATGTAAGGACCTAATATTTTTTAATCTATGCAATGTGTTTGAAGCTGTTCCGTTCCTATAAAAGTGTGGTACATGTGACGTCATCATACAATTGAATTTCTCCAAAACTATGATTTAAAAAAATCGTCTAGGAATCTTTAAATGGCAATTATTCATCGTAATTTGTATATGGTTTCCGTACGTAAAGATGATCATTCGTTAATAAAAAATACATTTTTAAATCCCTCAAGTTTATTTGACATTTATGTAAATTAAATGTTTAAATCCTGTCAAATATATTCTAGGATGCTACTCACGGAGTGCGGTCCTATATGTCGGGCGGGAGAACGGTGCTGTAACCGTGCTTTTGAAAAACGCCAGTACCCTCGAATGGAGCCGTATCGCACACCTGCTAGGGGATGGGGACTTCGAACTCTTGAAGATATTAGAGCTGGTAAGATTTAAGAATTCTTGTAATTTTAAACCCCCTACCGCTTACCTAATGTGCGATAATTATTGGGTACTCAATAATAACGAAAAAAAATAAAGAATAATAATTTTATTTTTGTACAATCCGAACGGTTTAAATTTTTGACGAATAAACAATGTAGGGATGCGCTAAAGTACTTTAGTGCTTTAATTGTTAGTATATTTTGTATAAATCGACTGACTCACTGTTTAGTTAGAAATGATTACATATTTATTGAAATAAATATGTATGCTGCATGGAATCAAGCCTAAAGAGTTATTTGAAATTGTTTAAGAAATATTAGAATATCACAATTTAAACAAACTCCACTTACAAACTCTGGTGTATCGAATACGAAAAGTATTCCATTAGTTCCACTTACCACTGTTTAGCAGTTGTAACTTACATTCTACGGCTACAATTACTGCGATGACGTCATTCGCTTAAAAACACGCTAACGAAGTTTTTCCACCCGCTAAGTATATTTTCGTCTATAAGCTACAACTTCTAGACCTTAACCACTGGGGCCTTCGAGCCAGTCGGTAGTTAGACCGGTCGAAGATCCTCCCTTTAGATTGAAGGAACTGTTCACCATCCCTCCTCCACACACTTTACACTAATTCCTTACACTTATACTCTGATTTTTCATTCCGTAGAATTCTGACATTTCATAAGTGTTGCTACTAAAAAAGTCCACCTTCAAAAAGGTAAATCTAAATATTTACTTAAGTGACCTATTACAAAAATAACAAATATTTCAATATCACGAATAATATATCGAATTAACTTTAATTACTTTAATTAATTCTTTAGCTGGCATCACTACCAATCTGCACTGCAATTCCAGGTTTAGTAAACCTTTTTGAAAAAATAAAATGTTATCTTTACTTGTACTTTACTGTTTGTGATGAAAAGGGACGTAATTATCAGTCGCTGTAAAACCACTTTTAATGTGGCACTTAATAAAATGGATACATTAACTAACAATATAATGGATGAATAGACTCAGATGTTCAGACTCGTATTGAAATTGAAAAATGTGCCCGGCCAAAAAGGTTTGCCATCTCTGACATGTCAAAAAATGATAGCTGTCAGAATTCTATGGATTTAAAAATCAGAGTATAGTAGGAATTTAGATGTAAATGACGTCCGTGTGTCAAAAACATGAGACTGACATACAGTCATAGTACGCGATAAGTGTTGACTTTAAATCTTACCCTAAGGCCGTTTCTCCACTGCTCCGGTCCGGCAAACGTTAATTACCGATCCGATTTAGAAACTCACAACAGTACTTACGTGCTTCTCCACTACTCCGGCATCCGGTTTTTAACGATCCGATAACTTGCTAGATCGGAACGCGATGTTTTATCGGTCCAAGTTTATCCAAGTATCCAAGTGATTATAAATTATTATTCACAGGTTTATTTTTATAGTTTGTTTAATTTTAAAGAATCTGGATAACCTGGACCAAATCAAATTATGTTGCTATTTATTTATATTTTTATACCATAGTATTAGTGAACTATTTATTAAGTAGATTATAATATTTTAAGATAGACAATATAATAAAGTAATAAACTTGCCTGGGCAATAAAATATTCAGAATTTAGAAAGTTTTATTAATAAAATAAAGTATATGGGTTTTAGTTTCTTGTTTACATAAATGACCTCCCATTCTTTGTCAACGAAGTTCATGAGATGGTTTGGGTGCCTTCACTTTATTTAAAGTGAATAGGAATAACATATATTGGACGATTAAACAATTTTATGTTCAACGTTTAATGTAATAATATTATCAAAATGTAGATTTACAACTACTAGCGTAAAAAAACCAAAGGACAGAACAAACTTTTTGACAAAACTGTTTTTCTAGGCATAACAATAGATAATAAACCCCAATCGGGCCCCCCCCAAAAGGGACTCTTTCGAATAGGTATTCAGCATATCAGTAAAGAACCGAGTTTACTGATGAGGACACGGCTAAAATTGTGTTAGTACTTTCATAGCTTATGTCGTACGGCATTTTACTGTGGGGTGCTAACAGAGATTCAATCCATATTTGTGCTGCAGAAGCGGGCTGTTCGGGGATTTGTTGTGTTTCTCCGAGGGGTCCGTGCGGAAAACCTAATCTTAAGGAATTAAATATTATGACACTATCTGGTAATATATTCTTGAAGCCTTGTTTTGTCCAAAAAATATAAACGATTTTAAAACAAATGGTGACTTTCACCAGTATAATACGCGAAATAGAACTAATTTGAGTGTACGACCAACCAGCCAAAAGATAAACCCTTATATGGAAATTGTATTCGTTTTTACAACAAGTCCCAACGAAATTAGAGAATTATCACCAAAAAAATTCCCCCCCCCCCCTTTAACCGAAAATTAATCAACAAAGCTTTTTATAAATTTGAGGACTACTTAAATGATCTACCTTGGGATTGAATTGCTCCAGTTCAAACATTTGTGACTTGCGATTAAAAAAGTGGCGGAAAGTTTCTTGCCAGTTCTTCTTACCCGCTCTACGCCCTTACTTGCGAACTGGTAGTAAATGTAAATTTACGATTAATTTAACTTGACGATTCAAAAGTTTCTTGGTTACCTACTTGAATAAAGATATTTTGAGTTTGAGTTTTAGTTAATATAGAGGTGTTGCATGATAAATATATACAAGTATCAATTATTGTCGGATCGGATATAGTGAAGAAGCGCAATCCGGCCTTCCGATATTTTTCTCATGACTCATTCCGGTATCCGACGCCGGACCGGAGCAGTGGAGAAAGGGCCTAACACTGATTAATTGAAAAGACCTTTCATTTTCATCTTCCTACTAGTGGCGTAAACAATTTTTTCCAAAAAACTAAAAGCCTACATGTAATATTTCAGGTCAGTTCGTAATAGAATACGTGGGCGAGCTGATAGATGAAGCGGAATTTCAGCGACGGATGAAGTGGATGCATCAAGTTAGAGATGAAAACTACTACTTCCTCACATTGGATAAGGAGAGGATGATTGATGCGGGGCCTAAGGGAAATTTGGCCAGGTATTTCTCGTCTCTGTCTATATATTATGAAATATTAAGATATATAATAATTAAAAAAAATCAAAATTATTGTCATCAGTAATTTAGAAAATATTCGCATTGATCGAAGATTACCCAATAATATTAAATGCCATGTTTAAATGTTTGTCTAAGCGCCACAATATAACTATTTTGGAAGTAGAAGCCAAGACAAAACTTTTAAAACTATATTTTCGTTAATTGCTGGATGTTCTTGTTAATCTAGGAAATATTAACTAATGTGATTGAGTTCGCAGAATGGAAAGTTAATGTTAGACTTTTTACTGTTTCTGCCCTGTAATTTCACATATAAATTATTGTTTGATGGGCCATTGCATGTTAATTTATCCAGTCACTGATTTTTTAAGTATATTTTTTATTAAAAATTGATTTTTTGTAGGTTCATGAACCACTCATGTGATCCGAACTGCGAGACTCAAAAGTGGACAGTGCTGGGTGATGTTAGAGTTGGTCTCTTCGCGCTATATGATATACCAGCGGTTAGTACTTTATTGTTTTTTTTATAAACAGGGGCAAACGAGCAGGAGGCTCATCTGATGTTAGAAGACTCGCAAGTGCGTTGCTGGCCTTTAAAGAGTTGGCCATCCATCTTAACCATTTGCTCTTGAAGGACCCTAATTCGAATTTTCTATATGTATAATTGTGTGGTTTGGAAATACTTCAATGGGCAGCTGGTTCCACATAGTGATGGTGCGCGGCAAAAACTTAATTTACTCTTTTACAAAAAAAAATTTTAATGATAAGGTTGCGTTTGAATTCTGGCTGTGCGTAGATTTTTATTTCTATAATTTAACTCATGGTAAGGTGATGAAGGCATGTTTAAGGTAGGTTTAAGATACACAGGATAGCACTTACCAGTTATGGCCCGTATTCCGATCTGAACTTACAGTATCGTCTAGAGTACTGGCAAATATTTCCAACTTCTTGTAGAAAAAATACTTTTGCATTATTTTTGTTTCTTTGAATTGCTTTTCACGTCTCTTTACTTTACCCTTAGTCACCAAAATATTCCTAAAGAATATATATGCCTATATATATATATGTATATATATATATATATATATTTATTAGGGTTGGCTGGAAGAAATCGCTTGTTAGCGATAAGGTCGCCCGTTGCCTAATAACTCATGTAACCTACTTACTTTTTGTTTTTTTTTCTATATGTATAATTATGTGTATTATGGCAATGAAGTATAAATAAATAAATAATTAAATATATGCTTGACTAATATTGAAATTATTAATTTTACAGAAAAGTGAGCTGACATTCAACTACAACTTAGAATGCGCGGGAATCGAAAAGAAGCGATGCCTGTGTGGTGCAGGGCGGTGTTCAGGGTTTATGGGAGCAAAGCCAAAGGTAAAATAAATATTCTAAAATGGCCTTGCGGTTATACCCACTTTGGTGCGTGCTTTTAAGGTCCATGGATAATCCATTTATTAATTGATATTTTTTTAAGGTACTTAGACTATATTAAAAAAAATGATATCGGGTTTAACAATAAACAAAAATAATAATCATCCAATTTGGTGCATTTGTTTGGAATGATGTGTATTTATTTTTGTATATATTATATAATAAATAAAATTATATATTATCTTAATATAAATTTATTTTATGGCATTTAATAATATCTTTTTAAAATTCCAAATTAAATTTTAAGTTATTTATCATGTATTTGTGCTTATACCTATTATTTTTTTTTTGTTTTCATATTTTAAAAATAAAATTAAATATATTATTTAATACAGTTTATATTAAAATCAATAATGATGTTATGGTATTTAAAAAAAAAATTAGTTTTTGGTTCCAAGTTTTCGTTTAAATTTATAGAAAAGTATAAACCCAATATAATAAGTATTAAGCTATTGTGGAACATCCATCCAAACAGTCAGTTAGCTGTAGGCTCGTGTTAGTATAAAACTGTTTTAATTCACTTGAAGCAAATTGAAGATTAAAAGCTTAAAATGTACTCAATTGATAACAAACAAACTACTCTCTTTACATTATAACAGCAAATAATGAAGGTATTTTAAACCGAATATTACCTGTATGAAAAATTGATTTTTAATAATCGGAAGCGCTCAGCGCAATGTTGATCCTCCCACCACCAAATTCAAAAAATTAACCCAAAAAGTTACTTTAAGCGTTTGGTGGATAGTGTATTGTTCATTGCAGTTTTCTCAAATCTAATATTAGTATTTATTGTAGCAATTAAACCATATGGAAAAGTAGCGCTAAACAACTAGCTGTAATTTCACCCATTACTTCACATAACGCTAGACCACACACTACAAAGACGCTACCAAATTAGAAGAGTTAATTGGAATGTTAAAATCCTCGTACTCCCCGGACTTGCTCCAACAGATTACCATTTTTGAAATTTGGAAATTTATGCAAGCAAAAACTTAATCTGATGGGGAGTCAAATCCCTTCAAGATTTTATTGATTCCCGTCCGACTAATTTTTTAGTAAAGGGATCAATAACTACCTATATATGGCAAAAGTGCATAGAAAACAATGGGTCATACTTTGATTAATTAAATATATTATATTTAAAAATATTCGACTTTTTGTTCCTCCCATACAAAACGCCAATTTCATATGTAAGGACCTAATATTTTCTGTGTCCATTCATTAGATCATTGAAAAGGGTTCATAAGAGATTTAAGTCTTAAAAAAATATAAAGTACTCGAAACAAACTCAACATATATGAGTCCAGAAATTGTGTTTCATTATGAATATTATCATGCCATCAGTCAATATGATTACTATGTTATGACGTAATGCACGAGAAATGTGACAATTTAATATTTTATACCCAATGTAGTTTTGTGAAATCCTTTTAAATTAGGTAAAATATTTATTGTTCGACTTTTGCCAAGACCACCTTGTTACGATCATTGATGATGACTTATAAAGTTCCAGTATTTAATTTAAAACCTATTTTAATCAATTAAAAACGTTTTAATTATGTTCCCAGGAGGAGCCAAAGAAAAACAAAGTAAAACGGACATCAAAAAACGAAAGCGGATAGAATTATCGCCCACAAACGAGCTGCCCAAACCAAAACGCCGGCAACCGAAAAATCGGGAACTCACAGAGATCGAGAAGGATCTCATCATCATCAAGAATGCCACCAACGGCATATCCAGTGATTCCGAAAGCAGCGGAAGACATACCAGCATTGATAGTGTTAAACGAAAGAGAAGTGAAAACGGTTCCCCAAGCACTAAAAGGGTTAAAATTGATAAAAAGAAAATTGACAAACTTGACCAAACGCTGGTCACCCCGCAGAGTAAAAGGACAGATGTAAATAACAAAAGTTTTGACGTTGATTGATTGTGTTGTGTCTATAGCGAGTGTATTTTAAGTGAGATTAATTTGCTACGTCAAATAAGTCTTACCCCCTTATTCAATATATATATGAATCAGTCTTCTTGCACTCTTGTCTCTTTCTGTCAAATTGTGTTTACGCTGTGATGAAAAGAGACAGTTGCCTACATTGATTTGTTTTTATTAGAATAAGGGAGTATTTTTCATATAAATTTGTAGTGTATAGTTGTCCAATCTTCGTATACCTGAGTACGATAATGTCCGTTTCTGACAGCTTGAATTTTCCATACGATTTGTCTACTTTTTAGCGATATTCAAACGGTATCTTCGTGCTTCCATTTAGTACTAAATATGCTCCCGTGTTAAGTATTTCAAATAATAATTTGTCTATTGTGTTAAATTATATTTTAGAATTCGTGTTAAGAATAAATTTATCACGAGAATTAAGTGTCTTAAATGTTTTTGATAAGCCTTAGGCTTTGTAGAGTAGATCGGTCGGTTTACCGCGTCAGCAAGGTTACTCTGTAATTTCTATACCGATTTTATATGACTATTCATATGTATGTAGGTATGAGATCGCTAAGTGACGTCGTGTCAATGCCACATAATTCGGAAATGATACAGTCGTTAAGTATATAAACCTAAATATAGTTTCAAGAGCTGTCAAACCATTGACTATAGAAAGTTTGACATTTAACAATACTCAAAATCAGAGAAATAAATTGGAATATGAACAACTCTATTGAGATTATTATTGGTATCAATAGATAAGGATAGTTACAGAGTAACCGGGCTGATTGGCCAAAATGTGTGGTTTGGTAAGTGAAAACCGTAAAGAGTATGTATATAGTTTGTAGTATAATGCAAAAATAATTTTGTCTAAAAAGAGACGGTACATCATACACCGCCTGAAGTTCACATAGAGATAGCAGATAAAAATTGTGCAATGTACACCGCTTGAGGCGAAGTTGACTAATTTACATTGAATTATGTTACCAATGGCAAATCGGTCATTTATGTAAAAATATACAATTTAATAATGAACTGCCTGGCTAGTTTTAATATTGACAGTAATTGCTTGAATATATTTTAAGATTGTTTTTGTGTTTTATTTCTGCCTTATAAGTTCTTTCTTTTTTAACTTAATACGTTTTTCTATAAGGATATTAAGAGTCGACTTAGTTTAATATGGTTTCCGTAAGTAGATGTTTGTATATAAAGGCACAAACGGGCAAGAGCCTGATGTTAGTAGTATGTTAGTGTGCCCACAGACACTCACATTGCCAGAGGGCTCGCAAGTGCGTTGCCGGCCTTATAAGAATTGGTACGCTCTTTTCATGAATGATCCTAAGTCGAATTGGTTCGGAAATACTTAGATGGAAAAATATGTATTGTGGTTTCACAAGCGAGTTCCCAAGCAGAACTATGTAGTTGAGTTTTATGTTAATTTAATTATCTGATTTTTTTCTGTAATCAGATTTTGTATAATGAAACTACAACAACAGTGGTAAGGTGAATATGAGCCAGTCTAAAAATTATTTATATATTTGTATAAACAAAAGAAGGAAACAGACGACATATAGAGTGAAGACAACTTTATACAAATATTGTAAAAATTTAAATTTTAGTAAAACTTCTACACGGTATCTTTTGCTTATGAAAACATCAGAGCACCACCAAATCTGAAAAGGTATGTACACAAATGTTACTAAATTTTATCACAAAAAATTTAAAATTGCGTTCATTAATCACATCCTTATCCAATGTATTTGTTTTGTACTTGTATGATACTGGAATGTTATTACTAACTCGCAATGTTGTAAAAGGAATTATTTTGCCCCGATATTTAGTAAAAAGTTATATCACACCCGTCTTGGAGCAGTGTTAGGCTAATGGTTTCAGCGTGCGGCTCTCATACCTGAGGAAGGATCGATCCCCGGCTGTGCACCGATGCACTTTGTTTATGAGCGCATTTAGCAGTCGCTCGAAGTACGCAAAAAGTTAAGGAAAAAAATGATCACGAAACATAAATTTGAGACCCAGACTGTCTGTCTTGAGTAAAAAATATTATGTTTGGCTGGTACCTTTTCTGTTCTTATCGTCTAATTACATATTATAGGTACGAATGGAAGTAAATAAATAGATACTTACTAGCCCTACAACAGAGAGTAGAATCGAACATCGTTTTAAGTCAGATCTAAATAAATATTGCTCATCATTTGCTTTGCTCTCCAAAAATGATTTTAACATTTCAACTCGTAAAAATATTTTTCTATTTTGACAAGTAATCCTTCAAAGAAATAAATCATGTGTTTTTATACTACGGCACTATATTTGACCCGGTGCGTGTTGCTGTACATCGTATCACAGAGAGCACGAAAAAGGCTAATTTTAAAAAGGGTGTACGAATAATATTTTTGTATTTTAGAATATAAACACAATTTAAATTTTGTTGAAATATTTACCTTTCTCCATCTCTCGTGTGATTTTTGTAATCCGCAAGCTTTATCCGTTAAGTTTCATTTTAATAATCATATTCTTAATAATGAAAAAAAAACAGTGGCATTAAAACCTTTTAGGTCTGGACTTCAGATTATATTTATTTCGTGATTATTTTGTTTCGTTGTTCGTTTGTTGTGGGCAAGCCGGTTTACTCACGATGTTTTCTTTCACCGTACAAGCGAGTGTTGAAAATAAATCTTATAGAAAGTCCATTGGTACACAGCCGGGGATCAACCTACGATATCAGTACCGCACACTGAAACCAACACTGCTCATCATATTCTTAATAATATCTCACGGAAATAGAGCCAGTCTCCTCCCATTGGTTTGTTCCCCAACGGGGTAAACCCCCCCACCCCCCCCCCCCCACCCCCTTTCTTTTTTGAAAAATTTTACCCCCCCCCCCCCCCCCCCCCCCCCCCCCCCCCCCCCCCCCCCCCCCCCCCACGGGGGGGGGCGGGGGGCGCCCGCGGGGGGGGGCCCCCCCCCCCCCCCCCCCCCAAGGCCCCGCCCCCCCCCCCCCGGGAGAGCGGGGCCCCCCCCCCCCCCCGCCCCCCCCCCCCCCCCCCCCCCCCCCCCCCCCCCCCCCGGGGGGGGTGGTTTGGGGGGGGGGGTTGTTTTTTTATACCCCCCCCCCCCCCCCCCCCCCCCCCCCCCCCCCCCCCCCCCCCCCCCCGGGGGGGGCCCCCCCCCCCCCCCCCCCCCCCCCCCCCCCCCCCCCCCCCCCCCCCCCCCCCCCCCCCCCCCCCCCCCCCCCCCCCCCCCCCCCCCCCCCCCCCCCCCCCCCCCCCCCCGGGGGGGGGGGGGGGGGGGCCCCCCCCCCCCCCCCCCCCCCCCCCCCCCCCCCCCCCCCCCCCCCCCCCCCCCCCCCCCCCCCCCCCCCCCCCCCCCCCCCCCCCCCCCCCCCCCCCCCCCCCCCCGGTTTTTTCCCCCCCCCCCCCCCCCCCCCCCCCCCCCCCCCCCCCCCCCCCCCCCCCCCCCCCCCCCCCCCCCCCCCCCCCCCCCCCCCCCCCCCCCCCCCCCGCCCCCCCCCCCCCCCCCCCCCCCCCCCCCCCCCCCCCCCCCCCCCCCCCCCCCCCCCCCCCCCCCCCCCCCCCCCCCCCCCCCCCCCCCCCCCCCCCCCCCCCCCCCCCCCCCCCCCCCCCCCCCCCCCCCCCCCCCCCCCGGGCGCCGCGCCCGGGGCCGCGCGGCGGCGCCCTCCCCCCCCCCCCCCCCCCCCCCCCCCCCCCCCCCCCCCCCCCCCCCCCCCCCCCCCCCCCCCCCCCCCCCCCCCCCCCCCCCCCCCCCCCCCCCCCCCCCCCCCCCCCCCCCCCCCCCCGGCCGCCCCCCCCCCCCCCCCCCCCCCCCCGCCGGCGGCCCCCCCCCCCCCCCGGCGGGGGGCCCCCCCCCCCCCCCCCCCCCCCCCCCCCCCCCCCCCCCCCCCCCCCCCCCCCCCCCTTTTTTCCCCCCCCCCCCCCCCCCCCCCCCCCCCCCCCCCCCCCCCCCCCCCCCCCCGGGGGGGGGGGGGGGGGGGGGGCCCCCCCCCCCCCCCCCCCCCCCCCCCCCCCCCCCCCCCCCCCCCCCCCCCCCCCCCCCCCCCCCCCCCCCCCCCCCCCCCCCCCCCCCCCCCCCCCCCCCCCCCCGGCCCGGGGGGGCCCCCCCCCCCCCCCCCCCCCCCCCCCCCCCCCCCCCCCCCCCCCCCCCCCCCCCCCCCCCCCCCCCCCCCCCCCGCCGCCCCGCCCCCCCCCCCCCCCCCCCCCCCCCCCCCCCCCCCCCCCCCCCCCCCCCCCCCCCCCCCCCCCCCCCCCCCCCCCCCCCCCCCCCCCCCCCCCCCCCCCCCCCCCCCCCCCCCCCCCCCCCCCCCCCCCCCCCCCCCCCCCCCCCCCCCCCCCCCCCCCCCCCCCCCCCCCCCCCCCCCCCCCCCCCCCCCCCCCCCCCCCCCCCCCCCCCCCCCCCCCCCCCCCCCCCCCCCCCCCCCCCCCCCCCCCCCCCCCCCCCCCCCCCCCCCCCCCCCCCCCCCCCCCCCCCCCCCCCCCCCCCCCCCCCCCCCCCCCCCCCCCCCCCCCCCCCCCCCCCCCCCCCCCCCCCCCCCCCCCCCCCCCCCCCCCCCCCCCCCCCCCCCCCCCCCCCCCCCCCCCCCCCCCCCCCCCCCCCCCCCCCCCCCCCCCCCCCCCCCCCCCCCCCCCCCCCCCCCCCCCCCCCCCCCCCCCCCCCCCCCCCCCCCCCCCCCCCCCCCCCCCCCCCCCCCCCCCCCCCCCCCCCCCCCCCCCCCCCCCCCCCCCCCCCCCCCCCCCCCCCCCCCCCCCCCCCCCCCCCCCCCCCCCCCCCCCCCCCCCCCCCCCCCCCCCCCCCCCCCCCCCCCCCCCCCCCCCCCCCCCCCCCCCCCCCCCCCCCCCCCCCCCCCCCCCCCCCCCCCCCCCCCCCCCCCCCCCCCCCCCCCCCCCCCCCCCCCCCCCCCCCCCCCCCCCCCCCCCCCCCCCCTCCCCCTCCCCCCCCCCCCCCCCCCCCCCCCCCCCCCCCCCCCC